TGTACCAGTTGGTGCATGGGTGTAGCGCAGTGCCCCTCTGGAACGTTGGACCTCACTCATGCGCCCGCCCGCTCGCCCGCTCGCCCGCTCGTGCGCCCATCAGTTCATCCTTGCGCATCACCGTCTGCTGGCTCTTCTCACAAAACTCGATCCCCATCCCTCCATCTCCTTGCTCCCTCATTCTCGACATCTCTCCTGTCTTGCTCCCTTCCCCTTTCAGGTTTCACGAGCTCACTCGTTGGTTGGTTTGCTGTGCAAGTCAGCTAGGACTCATCTCCCAGACGACTTTATACATTTCAACCCAGTCCAATCAGCATACACTCGCATTCTTCACGCCCAATTCAAACCTGTCCAACAATACCATTCGAGCAAAGCTGTCTCTATACACACATTCGCTCAGAACAACGCACATCTTCTAACCACAGAGGAAATCTAAAGCTCGACTCGCTTCGATCGAATCCTACAAAAACAATCCTACAGCTCGCTTCTTGATCTGACCCAGGATGCGTTTCACTCTGGCCATCTCGGCCCTCGCAGCTCTGCTGCCAGCCGTCCTCGTGCTACTGTCACAGCCCACCGAGGCTAGAAACAGACGTTGCGTTCCCCATGGCTTCGACAGCAGATGGTCCCGCACCATCGCCAAGGGAAAGCTGGAATGCTACCACCACTGGCAAGACGGCATCGTTCACGAATACCCAGGCGACATCGAGTACGTGCCTACCATGTGGGATGAGAAGAAGTACGGTGCAAAGTGGGCAGCACGCAAGAAGGAGATGCGAAAGAAGCTTCCCAGGCGTCTGTTGACATTCAACGAGCCCGATGTCAAGGGCCAAGCCAACATGGACCCTTATTACGCCGCAGACCTTTGGATGAGAGAGATTGTGCCCTGGCAAAAGAAGGGTGTCAAGGTCTCCACCCCTCAGATCGTCTACGATCTCGACTGGATGGACACTTTCATGAAGCAGCTCAAGAAGAAGGGCACCAAGGGTCCCGACTTCATGGCCATCCACTCGTACACTCCCAAGGGACAACGTGGTCTCAACCAACTCAAGTCTTACGTTAAGAAGTGCCGTAAGCGTTACGGTCTCAAGTGCGTATTGCGACGCGTCGCAAAATCTTGTTGATGGTAAACACTGACGGTGGCTTTTGTCTTTCTGGCTCGCTCCAACAGGATCTGGGTTACCGAATACGGTGTCACCGCATCCTCCAAGCCTTCCGCAGCCGAGATCAAGTCGTACCTCGTCCAAGCCCAGAACTTCCTCGACTCTCAATCTTACGTCAAGCGCTCCTTCTGGCTCGGTGGCTTCGCCATCAACAAGCCGCCCGATGGTTTCGTCACCAACAAGAACGCATTCTTCTCTTCCTCTGGCGGTCTGCGCGACATTGCCCACTGGTGGCTGTACGCCGGCAATGGAGGCAAGTCTCGTCGTGATGCTGCCGGTCTGCCTTCGTCTCCTCTCGAGCACCGCTCCGAGCACTCGCCCGCCATGAGACGTAACCACGCCAAGCTTGCCGCTCGCATGCAAGCTCGTGCGGAGAATGTGACTGCCGAAGCCGACATCGATGCTTACCACGCCGACGTCGACGCCGAGGACCAAGACTTGGCTGACGCTTACGATGGCGACGAGGTCGAGTGCGACGAGCACTGCCAGCGCCTCGAGGCTATGCTCGCCAAGACCACCGACGACGACGACGTCATGAAGGACGCTGAAGACAAGATCGATGGCGAGGATGAGGATGAGGACACCGACTAAGCGCAATCGCTTCGTCTCTCCTTTCTGCTCGCTAATCCAGCGTTGTCATGTCATCTACTGTGCTTGATACACGGTCAATCTCTTGATCAGGTATCCGAGTGCAAGGCCTCGCCCCTCGTCACTCTCCTCTTGTCTCCTTATCCGCAGAGCTTTTGGTTACTGCGCACACGCAAGACCTTCTCTCCAACTCCTCATCCGGCTCTCATTGTTCGGCTTCCAGACCTCTTCCCAACAGTCGTTTCTTGTTACTTGCCGTCTTTTTAGTGCCTCGTCTTCCCTTTGCTGCTTCTTCACTCACCTGGAATGCCATTTCCCACCCACGGCCGAAGCCTGGCGCATCGTGCTGTTCGTTCAACCTAAACTCCGTCTGGCCCACTCTTGCGTGAGGTGTGTGAAGTGAAGATGGTCAGATGAAGTCGCAATTCGCGGTGGGTGTAGCGATGGCGATTGAGTCTATGCTACCTTGTGTGCGGTACATGCTTTAGTCAGGAGCTGGTGCCCACCCTCGATCCGGCTTTGTTTGCGTCATTCGACTTGCGGGTGCGGCGGAGCATCGCTTCACAATGGCGACCGCCGTGGACAGCCCCCGTCCTTGCCGTGTCTTCATCGAGCACTACCGCAGGCGGATGACGTCGATCAAGCGTCAGCGTTACGCGTGCGTGTTTTTTTGGGCCGGCATATGAAGCATGGATCTGGCGTTTTCACGGTGCGCAGGGTATCAGATGCGATCGACTGGTGCGGTGCGGCCGCGGCCGCCGCCGCCGCCGCCGAGCTCTACAGCTTCCCGTGCGCCTTTTTGGCGTGTGCAGCTGTGCGCCGATGCCTCGGGTATACAGAAGGTGAGATTGCGTATGCCCCAACACCTGTGAATCGCTTGACTCATGACTTTCCCTCCACTCGTCAACTTCTTGGAACACAACCGCTCTTCGTTCCCACGCGAGAATCTTTGCAAGTCATCGAAGCTGTTCACGTCTCGGACTTGGCCTGTTTAGCATTGCTATCAGCTGTCTTGCGACAACGCTTGCGCTTACCGAATAGGCAAAATGTCAGGAGAGACCAACAGGTCTTTTCTCGCAAAGGGCATCAACGCTCAGGATACGCAAGCCGAACTTCACCGCAAGGGCGAGTCGAACAGACGAGAAGTGATGGGCTCCACATTCGTCGATCGCGCCCTATCATCCGCCTCGCCCTTTTCTTTGGCCATTCAAGACTTTGCCACAACGCACGCTTGGGGTGCTGTCTGGGGTAGAGAAGGTTTATCGCCTAGGGACAGGTCCTTGCTCAACATTGCCATGCTCACTGCGCTGGACAAGCAAAACGAGCTGGCTGGTCATGTCAGAGGCGCTCTAAACAATGGATTGGGGGAGAAGGAGATTCAAGAAGCTCTGATTCAGGCGACCATGTGAGTGGGGTACATGGAAGAGCGCGTGGACTCTGCTTTGAATGCTGCTTGCTAGTGGCCCGCCTCGTCGTGTGGGGTGCTCACACGGGCGCTGAATCGACGCACTTAGCTATTCTGGAATGCCAGCTGGTATGACTGCCTTTCGCACAGCCGTGAGTCGTCCAAGCTCGCTGCTTAGTCAGCCTGCGTAAAGGTCTGCCTAACTCTCTGATTCAACGCGATTTTGGAACAGGACGCCGTCCTCAAATCTTGGCGCGAGGACCATGGTCTCAAGCCAGACGAGGTCATTCCCGCCGCACCTCAAGGCAGACAAGGGACATGAAACATCCGTCAAAAGCATGTCTGCCGCAAAAACGGGCGTGAGAGAGCCCGATCATTTGGATCAGTCATCAGGCTTGAACAGCCAAACGCAATTGGATGAGATTTCTTGCGATGATTGACGCGGAGTGTCGACAAATTTGATGTGAAAGAGGACAGCAGCAATGTTGCACGACCAAGAATGATCCAATGAAAGTCAGAAAGGCTAAGAGATGTAGTACAATGCCACGTCAATGCGAGTCGTCCAGGAGCCGGCTTTGCGCAGCGGTGAGACGCATAGGGTCATAATCCAAATTGTCAGGTGTCGATGAGCGTGCTGTCCAGCTTGTGTCTCCCCCGCTTGTGCCCGTAAACCTGCTGTTGGCTGAAACGGCCGAGACTTTGCGCGTGGTGGGGGAGCGCGTGGATGGTTGCTGCATCGACTGCCGAGGACTGACGGTCGAGACAGGTCCTTTATACCCAAAGCGCTCTGCTAGGCCTGAACGTCG